CTCACTGTGCTGTCCTCCCATGATGCAGAGCTGTGATCCTCCTCAAACAGGGCAGCCACCTCCTCCAGAATCTGAACAGTGAAAGCCAGTTTATCCTCAGCCTGGAAGAAGAAGAAGATCAAACACAGACCACTTTAGAAATGCTTTAATAATAATAAGAGTGGGTTTAAAAGACAAAATGAATCTACCCTAAACGAGAATTATGGGGTTTTCTTTCAGTAAGTCAAAGCTGAGGTTCACTTACTGATGATTTGGACACCTGGTGGTACAGGTGATTAGGGAAGGCCACAGTGACCTCCACTTCAGTGGTGTTAGTGGAGTTTTTAGCCTGAAACACATTGAGTGTTTTAGTCATCAGATGCTAAATTGAAATAATTCTTTCACGAAAAATAACAAATTAACTAATATTAAAACATTAAAACACTCACCATGGTATCAAGTAGATTCAGAGTTTCTTCGTTGTGCTGTCTGAATTTATCATCCATCCATCTGCAGCTTAGCGAGGAGCTTTCAGTGGACAGAGCGAGAAACAGGCAAGCAAAGAGAATCCTGTTCATCATTTTTTAAAGGTATAAACTTCCTTTGTATGAAGCAAACTCCCGGTGTTCTGATGGAGCAGACCTGCAGCGCTGCATTTATAGCAGAGCGAACATATTTCATTTTCCATACCTGGGAAACCCGCAGGTGAGCGGGTTGAGGCCTCAACGTACAACAGGCTGTAATGTCGGAAATCTCAGATTAGAATTTGCATCCAAATCAAAGAAAAATATTCCACAGTGGAGGATAGGCAGCATTTTTAAAAAGCTAAGGTATCACCCTCGTTAATTTAGTAATTTACGTCACTACGAGTTACCTGCCAAACATAAATACATGAACTTAAATACGTGAAACACAAAACAAGAAACACATCTCACAGCTGATTTTTTTTCCCCATTAGGCTACCTCTACATGTTTCTGAAATAGTTAAGTTGTGATATGAAAAAATTTACGTCTTCCTTGAATATTTATCGCAATTTTAGCGCCAGTTTACACCCGAAAATAAAAATAATTAAATACAATGAAATTTCATTAACGGCCACCTTACTTAAATCTGTGTAATTTATAATAAAAGCTGATACTGCACATTTCATCAATTTGCATTACTTGTTTGTGTTTTTTTCCCCTTTTTTCGGCATCTTTTTTCACACAGCACACAGTGTTTTCGGTTTGAACAACGAACAATGTATTTTTTTCACAGTTGGAATTACTCAGTTGCTTCTTTTACCTAACACTCCAGGTCTATTGCACAGTGTCCATGTGTGCTATAAAAGGGAAGTTCTTACTTTCAGAAACTGAAAGTGGCTTGATGACTGTGGAATGTGTCGTAACGCGAACCGATGAGTGACATTTCGCCTTGTTTTATCTTGAACCTGTGGCTTCCCTGTGTGAACCAGGTAACCTACGGAAAACTGCTTCACGTCTTAATCGGAAGATTAGCGCATGTTTTCATCTCAATTGAGAAATAATGAATAAAGACACTATAGGCAGACACGAGATCAGTAACCCTGACTGAAACCCACAATTTCAATTTTCAAAATTTTCTGGACCTGTACAGGACAAATACGGACTAGCTTGAATTGTGACCACTATAAAAAGCATAAAAACTCTCATTTTGAAGACCCTGAGTAATTTATCGCCTGTAGATTTGATTAAGCAACTCACTGTATATTGGAATGAACAACACTAATACCCCAGTGCAGGTGGTTCTGATGTCATGCAAATGTGAGCATATATTCACTGGTACATATATTAACGAATTAATAAAATATTAGCATTTGTGAATTTTGTAGCTCATTTTTAAACACTTAAGTAACCCCTAAGAAGAGTAACTCTTCTTTATCTGACGGACTTATTGCACCAATATGCCAGATCACACTCGTTTAGATCACTGGAGCAGATCTCGAAATTTCAGGATAGGTCAATTTACCGTTTCCACTACATTATGATCCTATATTACTTAAAGCGTCATTTTTAGTTTCTTTAATTAACTCATTTTTTATTCCTTTTATTATATACTGATTTAAAATAAAGTCGATCTAAACTTCTGCTTGTGTGGTCACGTTAACCTGTGTCAGTTTGTGTGCTAAGCAATGATGAGAAATTAGTTTGTGAGTTCGAGAATTGCATTCGAAATCCAGTTAATCCTGCAGCCTGGAAGAACAATCACAGACTACCTAACAGATACTTTTACACCACTGCTCAGGAAATTTTTAAAAGGAAAGGTCAATGTATTTATTACATCCAGTGATTTTGTTTAAAAGAAGAAGAAGAAGAAGAAGAAGAAGAAGAAGAAGAAGAAGAAGAAGAAGAAGAAGAAGAAGAAGACAATATTGAAATATTTAAACTAAACAAAAATCCAACTTATTAGATGGCATTGAGTAGCTTTAGTAGCTTTTTATTATAAATTCAAAGTTTCAGATTTTATCACTGGAATAGCTTGTGTTTTGGTATAAAAAATATAATGTGTTACAACAATATCATTCCAACTTTATTACATTTAGACTATTATACAATTAAAATGATTTGTTAGCTGCTGAATTTGGGTATTGTGCATTTACACATGAATTATTTCCACAGATTGTTAATGGTTTGGTTTGGTTAATTGTTTTCTTATTCCTGGGTACTTTTCCACTAGGGCACAACCCTTTACTGTACGCTGACCTATGTGATTTTTTTATGATTACTCAGTTGCTTGTGTGGAAAACTAATACTTCATAAATAAATGAAACTGCACAGTATCCACACGAGACATAAAAAGGAAGCGATAAAAAGTGGCTTTGTGGTTCTGCAACTGTTGCCATTCAGCATTCATTCAAAGGAACCGGCCAGTGATATTTCACCTTCTTTTACCTAGAATATGTGAAACTTGTGGCAACATGGGAAGATTAACATCCCTTGAGACTTTACAAAATTACAAAATAAAAGGCATGGTGAGGAAGAGAGCCAGAGAATAGTAACACAGCTGTGTTTGAAGAAAGAAATGCATTTCAAGAAACTCACAGATGATGATCTGAAGAAAAAAAATCTACATTATTCTAATTCTTACAAGAAGGATTTTTTCATTTAGCTTATAATTTTGTAATATATTCTTCTTTTTTTTCATTTACAAGCTGCTTGGATAAATGATTCTTCTTTTCCTCTGTGTGGGCTAACAGATATACATAATTATAAATATGTATTAAACTTAACAGTTGATATAATTATTTAATACTTAATATTTAAGCTTTCTGAAGGGTTATTAAATATTAAACTTTGGTTCTACTTTGTTTTTTTGTTTCTAAAGTACGTTGTGTGTAATTTTTTATTTATTATAATTATTCATTAAATTATGTCTGGTCAAGACTGTAATAATCCAACAGCAAACATGCTGGAAAACGTGAAAAAAAAACTTGAGAACCAAGTGACTTCAAGAACCAGTAAATGCCATCAGACATTTGCTGTAGGCTCTTATCAAAGCTGCACAATAAGGGGGAAATTTTGACCTACTTTGACCTTTTAATCAATAGAACCTTTTCTTGCTGTTTGCCCTTTGGTTGCTTTTAACTTCTTTCATGATTTCCCACTGTGATGTTTCAACGACTTTGCGGCCGTTTCCAGCTTTTTGTTTTTCTATAGAGCAGTAAAAGACATGATCATAGCATGGTTCACACAAGTCTGTTCTGACAACATGTAAAACCTCCCTCCAAGAGGCTTTTGAAAAAGTCTTTAGCAAAACTGAAACGTAAAACACAACAATAGTAAAACAGTCACCATGGTATCAAGTAGAATTAGAGTTTCTTCATTGTTCTGTCTGAATTTATGATCCATCCATCTGCAGCTTAGCGAGGAGCCTTCAGTGGACAGAGCGAGAAACAGGCAAGCAAAGAGAATCCTGCTGATCGCTTTTTCAGAAGCTATAAACTGCTTTTGTATGAAGCAAACCCTCAGGTGTCCTGGTGTTCTGATGGAGCAGATTGTTAAATGTTGGCTTTAAATCTATAATTACACAAAAGAACGGAGAACATGGTAAAATATCAGAATGATAAAAAAGAAACATATGTACCTGAAGATCTAGAAAAGACCAAAAAAAAGCATGACAAAAAATACAACTCATAACTGACTATTTTGTTTATCATAGCCTGTATATGTGTTAGCTTGATAAAAGAAATAAAGTGTTTATATGGTGACTTTACATCAAACAAATTAAAACAATCAAATCAAAAACAATTATTGACTGCTTGATTTAATATTACAGAACATTTGTAGTATTGGGCATTTATATATTTATTATTAAATTTCATTTATTTCAGTATTATTATTTTTTTGGCATGACTCTGTGGGGGTACAGGTGATTTGATATGTACAATTAGCAATGTGGTATTTTCCTATTGTTCAAATTACCAACTTAATTACCAGGCGTGTAAAATAGAGAACTATGTAATAGAAAAACCTGGAGGTCTAAAAGCATAGTATCCATAGAGCCATAAACAGGAAGTTTCTGTATGAAGAAACTGAAAGTGAGTTAGTGACTGAGTAACTGCACTGTCACGATCATTCATAGGAATCGATCAGTGATATTTGCCTCTCTAGGATGTCGTTTTAGAAGTAGGTAAGCCAAAGAAGGGGATTCTCCTTCACATTTTAATGGGAAGATTTGGGAAGACTGCTGCAAAAAGAAGCAAAAAGGTGTTGCAGTTATTTATAATGAGTAGAAAAAAATGTCTAAAACATGGTGAGTGTTTAGTGTAGAAATATTTGATCATTCACCAAGACAGATCTGCTCTTTTAATACAGAAACTACAAAAATAGTTGGACCCGGACCCGACTACATAGTTCACTCTTTTAACAGTTTTATTTGGTTGCTGGTTATTACGACACTCAGTTGCAACTTTTCAGCTACAACCCCACACACACCACAACAACCTCAGGTGCCAGCACGTTTTTTCCCGGGCAGGCGTGATGAGCTCCAATGTGTGTCAGCCTCCCCTGCAGCCGCGCCACAAACCACACCCAGCCACAGCTATTTTAATACAGATTTTATGAATGCTGTGCAACATTTAACCAAATTTTTTTTTATTTATGTTGAAGGTTTAATGCCTTTGAAGATCCTCTGCAATCATGCAGACAAACTGTTGAAATGCAATAGTTTAGATATTTCAAGCTGTTTGTCATCGCTTTCATAAATTGAAGGCTTATTAAATATTAATCATAACTTTGACTTTTTTACATGAAAAAAAAAAAATTTTTATGTTGTTGTTTTTCTGGTATTTATTGTGTAACCTTATATTGAATTATGTCTGGTTGAAAATCTAATAATTCAGTGACAAACGGGATTGAAAAAGTGAATAATTGCATGAATGAAGTAACTTCAAGAACCAACTTTAGTAGTAGCAAACTCCATCAGACATTCGGTGTAGCTTCTTAATAGAAATGCGGAATAATGAGCCTTTCATGACTTCCTTCTGTGATGTTTGCAAGGACAGCAGCAACAGTACACTTGGGCCTTTAGAAATGCCTTTATGCTAAAGATGTGGCTGTGAAT